AGAAAACCAGGAAGAGATAAATTTTGTGCAATTGCTTGTTCCAGGCACAAGCTGTTTTCAGGCAAGCTTTTCTCTGGTTCTTGCCATGGTCAAGCTTTACACAGAAGAAGAAAAAACTTGCTTGCCAAAGAGCGTTGCTACTCTTTTAGTGGCAAATGTAAAAGACAATGAGAAACACGATCCCTAGAAATTAATTCTACCTCTGATCACAGACGCATGCTTGGGACCTGTTATTGAAAGCAAGTATTTGCTAAGGCTGGCTGAGGCTTGCAATAGTAGCAGCTGTTTTTTGTTTGTTTGTTTGTTTTTTTAAATCTTTATTTTCTCATAAATCGGAAGGCAACAAATTTCAATCTACATGTATTTTAAAGTATAGAGTATAGCACAATAATAGAGAGAGAGAGAGAGAGAGAGAGAGAGAGAGAGAGAGAGAGAGAGGAAAATGGGAGATTTGATTTTATTATAACTGCTGTCTTTTCCTTTTAGTCTCTCTAGGATATGGGATTGCCAGTGTATATTGGGAATATTATCTGTAGAATATCTCCGGGGTTGTCAGATAAATTTTTCCTTACCCCATGATGTGAATCTGTGATCGAACAGGAAATAACTTGAATCTACTGACAATACAAATCTAATGACAATGCTTATTCAGACCACCGCTCAGTAAAAACCACTACAAAAGACACACCTCTTCATTCCAATTGAGCAGTTTATCTTTCCCTAAGTGCACCTTCGGCTCCACCAATCCCCCAATCATCTAAAAGGCAACTTCCCTCTTCTGTGTCCTGAATAATGTAAAATGAGTTACGAATGAAAATGCCTCAAGTCACCAACATTATACAAATATGAAATAACTCAGATTGTGGCAGGATAAATATTATGTCTGGAAAGACATTTACAGCAAGAGCAGAAGGAAGGCACTTCATTTTATGAAAGTGCTGGGAAAGGGGTACTACTTTGAAAGTGGGCAGTGTTCAAGTGTCCAGAAAGGTCAACACAAACAACAGAAATTCCACTAAGAAATGAATCCTTGTCCCAATAGCCCACAGAATATCTGACCTCATCATTCATAGGAATCGATTGAAATTAAATTGGTTTTCTGCAGCCAGGGCTGATGCCCATGTGAAAAGAAGCTGCCTTCTTCTTGGCTGTGCCAAGAAGACTGTGCCCTGCCCCCTGGCTGCCACTGGGGCTGTCCATTCAAAGTCTGCACAGGTACTCTGAATGGCCTCTACTTCCCTAATTAACTGGGGCCTGATGATCACAAAGCCAGATGTTACCAGAACAGCATAGGGAGCAAGAAAGTGGTGTGTTCATTTTCTAGGTAATTAGTGTGTTAAACTTAGTGCTAGGCTGACCCTCCATGGTCAATGTGAAGTTCCAGGTTCACAGGCATGGCTTCTGTGGACCCCTGGAAGGTCTACCCACAAACCCAGTGGCTGCAGAAACTTAAATTGTACACTACATATCGTGTACATGTGCATCATTCCCACACTGGGAAAAGTCTTCCAAAGGATTTTTAAAACAATCCATGTTTCCAAAAATTAAAAATCATATTCTTAGGAATAATAGAAATGTGCAATGGATTCCTTTCTTCTATTCACAGTGTAGTTGATGATAGGTTTGGTAGATTTTTTCCCTTGGGTTCGACAATGAAATAACTAAAGGTACTATCATTGATGGATTGATTTCTTTCAGCTAAATAAATACTACAACATCTGAGAGGAACACAACACTCTCATATGTCACCACTGAAAGTTTTTAAGTGTCTCTCATCTGAAGTCATGGTACACTTTCTCATAACTCTAAACATCAGTGGTACTTGCATTCATTGCAGGTACAAAGTGATGTATGCTGCTGAGCTGATTGTCACTGAAGAAAATTCCTTTTGAATTTTCCAGAACTTGAATTTCCTGGATGTGACTTGACAGTCCCACACATAGAGTTAAAATATGCATTGTTGAGAATAGCCACCTGTGTGCCCTCTAATCTCTGGAGTCCAAGGGACTTCCTAGAGCCCTCGGACTCTCACCTCCTGGGACCTGGTATCTCTTCCTTTGTAAAGGCAAGGTCAATTTGGGTGGAGATACTGAATCAAAGGAAGAAACATTCCAAGGGTGAGGCACACCCTGAAGGAGACTTACACTACCAGAGAGAAAAAGGAAGGAATGGAAGAAAAGGAGGAAGGTGTACACAGCTGAGGCCTTAACCAACATCTTTAGGGGCCTGAGAGTCAGGAGGGCCCTAAGAGCTGGACAGGCAGGTTTTCCCAGTTGCAGGTTTAACCTAGGTTAGGAGCTGTGATCCTGGACACCAGCCAGCCCCAGATAGATCAGTTTTGTAGAACAGAGAGAGAAAAAAAAAAAACAACAAAAAAAAACAAAAAACCCTTCCATGGGCAAACTCTGGCATTTTCTACAAAGCTGATGACCCCCACAGTGTGACATCTGCTAAAAATGAGAAAAACTAAACAAAACAAAAAGGTAAGGGAAGAACATCTACTTTTTATTCTCTTCTAAGCACTGGGCCCTTTGAGACTTCCTCAGACCAATCTAATGACAGCTTTTGACAGGATTCAAAACTGGCATTGAAGTGTGTGGCTGAGTCGAAGGCCAGGCCACTGCACGGCGGGTCAGTGCCAAAAGGCATATTTCAGAAACAGAAAATGAAACAGGAGATAACACTAAGATCACTTAATAAAACATAATGAAACTTTTAAAGAATAAGATTCAATGAGGAAAATTAAGACTAATTGTCTCAATTTTAGTACATGTACTGCTGAAGTAAGCACAAGACTAATTGTCAAAATTAGTGAGAATCATCTGCCTTCTTCTCAATGGGAAAGCAAATTGTAGATTATAAAAACAAAAAAAGAAGACAGAAAAAAATCCAGCAGGCTTTAATGTTGACACTCACACTTGAAAGTGCATAATCAAATTGTACTTTATGGCCATGGAGTGAAACGGAGACAGGCAGGTGGGGGCCCCTGGACAGCTCACTTCTGCCTTGCAGCCTTGACCAAAAAAAAAAATAAAGCCTCACCACCAACATTATACATGGTACCCACAGCCAGGTCAAATATTCAGTTAGGATTCCTGTATTTTTGATCAATTATTATCAATTCTGGAAGGAGAGCCCCCACAAAACAAATCCTGTCCATGTAGACACTGAATTAATTTTTTTTTCATTCCTAAGTATGAGAAGATGACCCAGCCTTAGTTGCAGCTGTTTTACTTTGGGGTTTAAGAAAACCCATGCGCACACTGGCACAAAGAATCAGGAAGCCAAACGCAAACAATCCACACCTTGGGGAAACAGTTCACTGTTACCCAAGTAAACACAAGCACCTATTAGTCACCTACTCAAAATAGAGCTGGCCAATGAGGGATGAGGGATCAGCCCTCACCACCAGAAAAATAAGCACACCGCTTTCAAAATCTCTTTCTTTATTATCATCCACTTACTGCGCATTGCCAAAAAGCCACAGCTGAGGCTCTAATGGAAAAATGTCACTGGACAGGCCACTAAATAGCTTTCAAGACTTTTATAACCAAAACCTGACACACAGACCTGCTTACATGCATACTGCCATAATCATGCTCTCTCTGGACAAGGAACTACGTGATACTCAGCTATCAATTCCAAAAGAAGCGATCTATAAGAACAGCATCATGCTGCTAGCTAGGTAGGTGGGTCTGGACCTGGCTGAGGGACCTTTATTTTTTATTGGCTTCTCATCATCCACTTTGCCAGCTACTCCTCAGAAGCCTTCAAGATGTTTTCTAAACACACTTCTCTGAATCATAATGCAAATTCCATTTACTGAAAGGCAGGAAGTTTTAATATAACAAGTGAACCCATTTAATGACTTGTGCTTTTATATCTTATGGCATCCCTCATGCTTTTAATAAGTGGATATAGTTTTCTTTACATTATCCAATGATTAACATGCTAATGTGAACATATATTTTCAATCATGTTACAAGTTTTCTGAAAAATTTTTTCCAGCTCCAGTTCTATCATGCAAATGCTCCCAACAGCAAAGATAGCAAAGACAAGAGCCAAAATAATCAGCACACATTAATTCCTTTCTCTTCTCCCACTAGTGAAATCTCCAAGAACACAGATTTTCTTTTATGTTAATACTTTTATAAAGGATACTGATTACTCCTATTTAATTGTCCTTTGGTTGGTATTTCTGTATTTTCCCGACAGATGGCTATTACTGTTACTTGGTACTTACGCATTTTTTATTTAACTGGAAATAACTTTTATTCTTAAACTTTAAAACAATATTAGAAAAATGAGATTTTCAGAGTAAAATATCTTATCTTCTTCAATTAAACTTTCAGTGCTTTTTTCTGTTGACAAAATATGACATAGGTTCTTACAATATGGAGAAACACTTGAAAATAATAAGAAATTATTTTCTCCATTCTTCCTCCCAAATCATAATAAGGCATTCAAAAGAAATCTAACAGAAAAGTCACATTCTCACTAATAGTATTGACACTATTCATATTGTACCCTAAAAAGGTATACTTGCTTAGACCTTTGTGTCCACATCAGACACAAGGGATCTTTTAAAATTATTTGAAGTAATCGTTCCAAACCATGACACTTGTCACAGACAGCACATGGATCATAAATTAAAGGCTTTTATTAAATAGATTTTCTCTTATGAAATAGTTTCCCCATTGTGTACTCTTAGTATTCATTATAGTTAAGTTTTATATTTTCGTATTTTGGTAAAATTATGAGGTGTTTTGTTGAAATTTAGAATTCATGTCTTACATGTTCTAAATCAGTCTTAAAACAACTCAGTAATTGAAACCAATACTGTCAAGTTAGACTTTGAACAAAATATTACATTTTAAATAAATACTTTTTAAAAGCTTGACATCTCAATAACAGTAAGAAAGACCATCATGGAAACTGCTAGAAGTTTTGCTGCCCTGTAGCTACTTTGTGCTTCAAGTTCAGTTCTCACAGATACATACCTCTCCCACTCCGACCGACAAACCTGAGGTCATTGAATCTTGCAACTTGGTTCTTCATGGCTGCAGTAGCATTTCTGAGCTCGGCTGAGTAGTTTTCATCATTGCCAGCCATGACTGTGACCAGAGTACCATCTGGAACTTCCCCCAAAGCCACCACCTAGACAGGAGTCAGGGACAAATGTAGACATCAGAAAAATTGTTCATATCTTTTGACCTCATTTGTGTAGCCATCGTTCTAAAATTAAATTAAGGTTAAATGATACATTTTAGTTTGCAGAGAAATAACAACTATAACCTAATAACAACATAAAAGTTTGTTAGTGGGAACTTTTAAAAAACCCTTTCATTATGTATACATTTTCAAATAATAAAACACTTACTAAATTTACCTAATAAAGACACAGTGTCATAAACATAGCTCAAACCAGACTAACAATAACAAGGGTTTTGAGAAGCTACGCTGCCTCATGAATACAATCGGTCTTCTTAATTTCTCATATTTGAGAAACAGAATACCTTCTGTTCTTAAGTTTATAACTTGACCCATCTTTTACTTGCTCAGACTCCCACTTGCAGGCCTAATGGAGTCAGGGCCTGTTATTCACCTTTAAGTATTTAAACTTAAAATTAAATCCAATCTGTGCTATGATTTTCAAATGACATAACATCTCTTCCATATGTGGTATGCCTTTGCATTTCTATGATATGGAAGGCCATCAGCAGTGAATTCTGGCATGCAAGAAAGTCAAATCAGAAATGTACCTATTGGGGGTCCAGGGAGATAGCTCAGTAGAATAAGTGCTTGCTTGGCAAGCGCAGGGTCCCGAGTTCAATCCCCAGTACCACAAAAGAAAAAAAAAAAGAAATGTATCTATCGGTTACTAATTATAAAAGTGATAGCCCTCAGGGAAAAGAGACTCATACTTTAATCAGACTTTTCAAATCAAGGGTGGCACTGAATCGTGCTTTTGTATCTCTGATCCTAGAGATACAAATAATTATATCCTAATAGATGACTGAGATATTCTCCAAACCCAGCTAATCTTGAGAGAGAATCCCTTTAATGTAATTGAAAAGGTATGCTTTTTATGAAAGCCATTGAAGAAAACCAGTCAATAACTATTTTTGATGCTCAAGGAATAAAAAGATAAAATAAAACTCCAAGGTAAAAGGGCCTGAAGATGCTTTATGCAATAATATCTATTTCCATTTGACCCTTATAGCAAATATTTCCTTGGTCTAGCCCCTTATTATTGGCCATTATTTTCATCATTTGTGTTTTTTATAGTGGTTATAAATTTTCAACTCCAAATGCCCCAAGTTGTATTTGTTTTCATCATTTCTAACATTCTTCATGGTACTTTTCTCAGTCAGTAGTGAAATTTGTGTTATCCACAGCCCTTGTATAATCATTTTTTGATGGCTGCTTCTGAACTGGTAATAGTAAAGCATTTCTTAATTGGTTATTATTCCTTCCCATTTCTATCCTCCCAATTTTTACTAGTATGTGATTGCCACATCAATTTTTGTTGGGACTATTTTCAGTCCCTTTTTTTTTGTATGTAAATAGGGAGCCACAGATTCACTTATCTGATATCAAAGTCATGTTTCTCAACATTCCCATTTTGGCTGTGTGCTTAGTCACGACTGCTGCCCTCCCCATGTCCTTCAGATGACTCCATACTGTTTTTAATCATTGTGGCTGCTGTAGATCCGTGGTGGAAAGGAACAGAACAGAAAATGAATCCAGTCACTCTGAGGACTGAACACACTCTGGACCCCAAGGTCACAGTAAAGTAATCTACTGTCATGGTACTAGTGAGATTTTACTTGCCTATGTCATCCAACTTGCACTGAGGAGCAAGCTCAAGGCCTTTTATCTTTGATTTTAATTCCATTCCAATTTTTTTGGACACGTTTTTCAAGAAGGAAATTTTAAAATGCTGCTCTTTATTCTCTAAGCACTCGCTAATTGGTTATTTAGCTCCCATTATAAGTGTTTGTCACCACTTAATTAAGAGTAATAATACAACAATTCTCTTTTGTTTCAAAAGACATTATCGAAACAAATCTCCTTGATGGTTGATTGATCATTGTTACCTTTTCCTTCTATCCTACAAAATGTGTTTGCTTTATTAGGTTCTTTTCAGTCTCTTAATTCCCCCCCCCCATTTCTTTTTTCATGATTTTCACTTCCCTCTGTGAAACTAGCTCACAGTGTTGAAATGTCTTCCTTGAACACATATTTCTACTTCCTCATCTTCATCTCTCTATGGTGACCCAAGCTTTTCTATTTTAATCCAGTGCTCAGTAAGTGTATGGGGTACGGGACCAACCACATGGCTTTCAAACTGAATAACTCATTGTTGAGACTGAATCTGGAAAAAGATTAAAATAAATAAATCTTGTTTTATAACCGCCCAATGCGCTCTGAATCACCGTGCTCCTATGCTGTTTCTCTAAGTGCTCTACCTTGGAGTCTAACACTGTCTTCCTTAGTAGTTTGGCAGGCCCTTGAAACTTTTGCCAAACAGAAGCAAATAAAGCATAAAATTATCATGGAGGCCAAGTAAGAAAAAAATTGTTGATGTTGGAATTTAAGAATAAAATATTAGGGTTCTAACTTCTACCCCTCCCATTTTTTTAATGGAGCAGCAATCAAAGATATTTGGGTGCTCAACTATCACTGTCATAGCCTTTTATTTATCTATAAAGTATGTGGGGGGGAGCAGAAGCAAAATTAAACCCAAGAAAATTTCATGAATATATTATCAAATTCACAAGCATACTCAGGCTAGATTAAAACATTTAAACTAATGTATCTGCAAATTTGATAGGAATTTGGTGGTGATAGGCAATATGAAAAGAATGAAAAAATGTCTCTCTTCAAACAGAGAAAAGCAACTGGAATGAAAAGCTATAAACAATAGGTAATGGAACACAAACGTTTACATTTTAACACAGACCAAACAGACAAGAAGGGACTTGCTGGCCAAAGATATCTCATATTTTGTTTTACTTCTCTGTTTTTAAAGTTATCAGGAAGTTGGACAAAATAGCAACTGTCCTCTATACTGTACAGTTGTCCCAATACAGTTCTTGGCTAGCCTGTTCACAATTCAAACAGGCTTTTCCAACCAATCCTAATTAGGTTGAAATTACAGTTACAATTCATTTACTTTGAATCCCTTAATCTTCCAATATTTCAAGGAAGGCTGTGGAGTGGAACATAGAATTCAGCCAAGATGACATTTAATGCATAGCTGGGGACCATGATCTTGCCGCCAGAAACATTACTTATTATTTTTTTCATGAAAAGCATATTACAGTCAGCATCCGAGATCTCTGAATTTCTTTGCTGAAGGCATGTTTATGTCTTTGGACTCTGGTGTACCAGGGCCTAAACAAACTGTAATATTATAGTATTACAAAATCTCTAAGTCATCCAAACAGCTTCGTAGGCTGCTTCTGTAAATACTGGGTAGCACGTAGCAAGCTTAGGATTTTTCTTGGTAGTAAAAATATATACCTTCTCCTGTGCTAAAATAAAGGGCTTCCATGGGAGGGAAAGGGGAGGAGAACAGGATGTGGTCCAGGAGGAACAATTATGATCATTTTAATTTATTTTGAAGAAAATTCATAATTTTGAATATCTCCTTAGTTTTGAAGATGAAAGCAGAGGAATTATACGGAGAATTTCAGAGGACTTCTTAAGAGCTACTTAAATGCTCTTTTCCTCAGTATCATCAGATTTTATAACTGTTTCACATTTTCATGGGGAATATCATTCTCTGAGGATTAACTTTTTCAAGAGACTGAGACTCGCTTAAAATCTAAATTTTAAAGGAATAATTTTTACAGAAGCTGCTTAGGGTTGTAGTGCAGGGTTAGGTACAAAGTGGGACCAGAAACCCACAGTAAAGCGAGCCATGACATAGGCAGATTGTGAAGTTAAGCTTCCTTTCATTTCCCACCTTTACAATGGGTTCCACACTAAAAATTCTGCCTACTTTTTCAGCAATGTGGTGGACAAATCTCCCTGAAGAAGTGGCCTCTCTTCTCGGGGACTGGGGTAGTAAGAGACAGTAATCAAGTGGTCTGATTTCTCTGCTGATCTTTTCTTTCCCCAAGATGTTCTCAAGAGACACACCTGAACTTTTTCCAAGAGCTCTACCCCTTGACCTCATAATAGGCTGTAGGCTATCATCCAGTCACACATTGAGATTTTTGTTACAGTAAATTATCCCAGTCACTTTAAAAGGAAACCTCCATGGTTATGATGATTTCTGCTAAAAAAGAATTCCCTGGTGGCCCCTAAAAGCAATCTGTATAATTTTTCAACCTTTTAGAAGAAAATAGCATTTTCATACAGTAGCTCAAGATTTTGCATGGCTCCAACTCTTGAATATTTTTTTCATTAATCATTTATTGTCTTGATGTACTGGGGTGTGGGTTCCCTAGGAGGACAGAGCTCAGGAGAGATTCTGATTCTACCCCAAAGCAAGCCACAAATCCCATAGCATGATTGGGGCACAGGGGCACTTGGCTTAAAAGGCCCTTGGGTTGGTTATCAGCCTGTCTGCTCCGTGCCCTTATCTGACAGTGACCCAACCCGGCTCCAGCTCCAGCCCCGGCCCCGGCCCCAGGTCTCCCCTCTGGTACAGAGAGTGAGCAGAGGAGAAGAACCACCCGCTGAGTCTGTTTACATAAAAGGATTAGAATCATTTAAAATCCAAATGGACTCCCAAACCCAAACCTAAATAAATAAAAGAAAGGAAGGAAGAATCAAGTAGCTGCGCCCTCCATCCTCATTTCCACTGCCGGTTTACAAAATGCTATCAGACAGCTGGGTGAAAAGGAAGAAATTGTATGGAAGGCCATACAAATCATGTTTCTGTGATTTTAAAAATAATAATTTAAGTATGAAAAGTGATAAATTTTAAAGGACTCCAATAGCACTTTTTTTTTTTAAATGAACATTGTTAATTGTAATTACATCAAGATCTGGCTAAGGCCTATGAAAATCTTAAATTAATTTTCCTGTAAAAGGGACAATTATTTAACTTTTTAAAAAAAGAGTAACCTATTTTTACAGTTCACAGCCCCAATCTTCATTAGCTTTTTAAATGAACAGGAAATGACCACTGTGGTTATACTAAAGAGCCACACTTAAGCCAAAACAACAACAAAAATCCCACCAAAGACAACAGAATCCCCACTGCAGAAATTAAATTCCTACTACTGTTTGTTGCCAGGGTCGTGGGGTGGTTGTTTAAAGACTCTGGAGGTTGTTTATATATCTTTCTTGAAGGCCAAGGTTTTTAGACAGCTCAAAGCTAGAGCAAGTTGCGGGGACCGCAGACCCAGGCTGTTCAGCTGGTGTCAGGGTCCCCGCAGCCCCTCCTCTAACAGCAAAACTGGAGGTTTGGACTTTCTGGTTCTTAGGAGACATTTTCTCACCCTTTGCTGTCACGGGCTTAATCAAGGTGAGCCAGAGATAAAGTCCAGAAGGATTCCAGAAGAAATAAGAGTTACTCCTTGCGAGTTTTGGCTGGAGCAAACTAGGGGCTCGCAAAACTCAGAAAACTTTTGCAAATTTAACTACGCCTGCCTGCCGCAGCGGACTTTGGACACACCAATTTCTACAGGGCAGTTAAGAAAGGGGGAAAATCCCAGACAATTTCCAATGTTGTTTTCTTTTCTTTTTAATGACCGGAAGGTAGGTGTGGAAGTATCTGTGTTTCATTTCCGGATATGAGAGGGAAATGTTGGTTTAAATGGTAATCTAGAAGGGGTGGAGAGCCGTGAAGAAGAGAAGGATGTGCTCCCTACTAGACAGAACTTCGCTTACTTTTTTTTAAAACCAAAGGTAAGGACAGGTACTGATACTTCGTATCAAAGGAAAAGGAGGTCCTGGGTAGCCTTGAGTGGCTATCTTGGGGGAGAATCCTGATGAGCCCTGCGTGATTTTTGCCGGCAGGCTGAAGCTGGTTCCGCCCGAGGGTCGCCACGGCAACGCAACCTCCCCACATCCCAAGCACAGGGCGCAGGACCAGGGGTGACGCAGGGCCAGAGCCAGCGCAGCCAGCCCGGCCGCTGGTCTCCCGGAGCACCCCAGCTATCCGCGAGCTTCTGCTAGTCCTCCCACCACCCAGCCGTTCCCAGCCCAGTACCTTGAAAGCGATGGGCAGGGTCTTGTTGCAGCGCCAGTGCGTGGGTAGCACAGAGCAGAGGAAGTTGGGGCTGTCGGTGCGCACCAGCTCGCCGGGGTGGTCGGCCAGCACCTCCACCATGCTGCGGTCGCCGCTTCTCAGCTTCCCGGCCAGGGCGGCGCCAGCGTCCGGGGCGCCCAGCGGCAGCGCCTCGCTCATCTTGCCCGGGCTTAGCGCGGTGGAAGGCGGCGTGAAGCGGCGGCTCGTGCTGGCATCTACGGGGATACGCATCACAACAAGCCGATTGAGTAAGGACCCTGCAAACAGCTCCTACCAGACGGCGACAGGGGCAGGGATCTTCAGCAAACGGCTCCCGGGAAACCAACATACAAGTTCAAGGGCCTTTATTACAGCGGGAGGGTTGGGGGAGGGCAGGAGACTAAGTTCCTAACAGTCCAGGACGGGGAAAGTTCTAGCGAGGCCGATAGGCTTCAGACCCCGGCAGGGCTCCTACCAGCCAACTGCTTAGTGCATTAAGAAGTGGGCGACCAGAATCCAAAGTCAAACGCCAAAAGGAGACTGCTTTCTTGGGTCTTGGTTTGGGAGTTTAAGTTCAGTCTGTGGCTATTACAAAAGTTCCCGGAGACAAAATTCCCGTCTATTTCCTAAAATTATTTATGCAGAGAGCAAAACAACCAGCAAATACATGATTTGGAAGTTCCAGTAGTTAATCGCCTGCCAGTTACTATTATTATTGCTGCAGGTGAGTTTTGTCTAAAGTCCCAACAGAATGAAAAATTCAGGAATGTCTTCCATACACGGCGCCCCTTTTATCGTGGAAAACTGGCTCCGGTTCTCAAAAGCAAGAGCCGCAACTTCCAAAGGTTGTGCTACTAATGTATGTGCACGTATATATAAATATATACATACACTCTACTTCATAAAATATTTACAATACAATCTGTAGAGAATTTAAACACAACAGAAATCCATTAATGTTCGCTGCGGATATTTTTTTTAAGTAGCCTTGAAAATCAGCTTCAGTAGTTGGAAGAGGGATGGGCTAGAATGACTTGTCATGTTCCTTTAGTAAATTCTGGCAAAATGCTCAGTGCAAAAGAAATTCAGCTTTTCAAAGATCTCTGGCTAATCTTTAAAAAAGAGAAAAGTCTAAGTCGATGATACTAAGGTACAGGTCTCCACAGCTGAGAACTCGTGTTGGGGGATGTTGGTTAAGTTTGTGGCTGATCCTGTGGTTTGGTGGGAGTTGAGCTGAAGCGAGTGACACCCGCAGACACGCACTCTTCCGAAGCTAGGCACAGTCTACATCGGCTCAGTGAGTCAGTCCCGACTTGGGCAGAAGCGTGATCTTCCTCCCACGTCGCCCAGCACCGGCGGCCTAGCTGCTCCTTCGCACCGATCCCCTGGAGCACGGTGGCACCGCAGCAGGTGGAGCGGCCAGAAAGGAGACTGGGCCGCTCAGGTCCAAAGAGACCCCGGGGTTCGAGGTACGCGCGCGCGCGCGCACTCCCCACGCACACGCAACTTCACGGCTGGCCTCGAACCACGGCGCGCTTTCTCTCGCAGTTGTCAAAAGAAAACACACACACACACACACACGCACAAACAAACAGGAAAACAAAGTTCACAGCCAAGAAAGAAGTTGAAATACTCAGCCAAGAAGCCAGTTCATTCAAAAGTAAGAAAGAAAAAATAAAAAGAAATCTCCAACTCAGGCCTAGGTGGACCAGCAAAGGTTGACTTTCTGGTGGCGTCCCCAGGAGCCCCGGATAGAGGTGCCTGCCGGCGCAGGGCTGGGCTGTGTGTTGCCCTGGCTGGGTCCGGCCGCGGGGCGCCCGTCCCGCCCGCGCCCGCTGGCTCTATGAATGAGAGTGCCTGGAAATGAACGTGCTTTTACTGTAAGCCCGGCCCCAGGAATTCCATTGCCTCAGCTCTTTTGCATAGGGGCGGCCGTCGGCCAATCACAGGCCTTTCCGGTATCAACCGGGGCGCGGCTCGCTGCCGCCAGCTCCTGGAATTGGCCCGCGCGCCCCCGGTGCGGCGCGCTACTGTACGCAGCCGGGCGAGGGGTCCTCGGTGGCCGAGCCACCCCCGCGCACCCCGCGCTCCAGAGCGGCCACGCGGAGACACGCACAAGCTCACTCGCTTGTCGGAGGCCTCGCCTGGGTGCGCACCCCAGCCCGCCAGTAACGCACGCGAGTGCGCCGCGGCGCCCCGGGCGGCTGAGGCGCGCAGCCCCAGGAGGAGGAGGAGCAGGCGGGGAGGCCAGGCCGGCCTGCCTGGGGACGACCTAGCTGGAGAGCTGCTCCCGGGCCCGGAGAGCAGCCGGAAGGAGGCTCCCGGGAGGCCCGCAGACGCAGCTGCTGCTGCGAGGGTTCGGCGGACGTGGCCCGGAGCCTCCAACTGTCCGCGGCCCGGGCGCCACCGTCTTCCGATCCGGGCGACCGCTTCCCGGGCGGCGGGATTGAGCCGCACCGAGGCCGGGGGGCCGGGCCCTGCTGGGGAGCGGCTCTGCGCACCCCAGGCCTGGCCGCTCGCCGCAGCGTAGTGACGCTGACTCACTGAATGAGACGAAACTGCCCCCCAACTTGATGTGTGTGCAGCACTCCGTCGGTCTATTTTCACTTATTAGTGTTTTTCGCCGCGTCGGGGCTGCGACTTGATTACGCAGCGGGCGCAACGGCCGGAGAGGGACTTCCTAGTCAGGGAAGGCCCGGAAGGGCCGGAGGCGGGGAAGAAAGTTGAAAGGCTCCGCTGGGCTCGCGCCCCACCCGGAGAAAGCCCGAGCCGGAGCGGGAGCCGGAGCTCCGTACCGAGCCCTCCCTCAAGCACTCGAGCGCCCGGGCGATGCCCAGTTCCACTCGAGCGGCCCAGGCGCTTCCCCCACGGTGGCGCTGCGGGCAGCAGGGAACTTTCCGTGTGCGGCACGCGGCGCCGCGAGCGTTTTCGCGAAGTTTAAAGGTTTCCCCGGCCCCTGCGCACCCCGCGCCGCGAGGCCCTTCCTCCCGCGCCTCGCAGCTACTCTGGCACTACCACGACCCGCAGCTGCACTGCTGCAGTGCGCAGCGCGCCCCTTCCCTCCCAAGGCGGACGCGCGGTGGTCGAGGTGCTGCCCGAAGGCTGGGGAAGCGGGGCTGCGGCGGGCCAGGCGTCTGGCCGCTTCCCCGCCCCAGGCCCCGGGAGGCCGGCGGGCTGCGTAGGGCGGTGGGTGGGGAGGCCTTGAAGGGAGCCGCGGGCTCGGGGCGGACGCCAGGGGGCAGCAGTGGCCCTCGCTCGACGTCCCTGGGCCGGTAGCAGCTCTGCGAGCCCCGAACGCTCCGAGGGCGCGAAGCTCCGAGTCCCACCTCGCGGTCCTGGGGAACTCTAGCGAGAATTTGACTTAAGGGAGACGAGGCAGGGGGCGACCGCCAGAGCCACTGTGTGCGGCCGTGGCATCTGGGAATCTTAGGGCCGGGGAACACGAGTCCGGGACTGCCCGAAATGCCTCGCCCTGAGCACCTTTCCCTGGCCGGGGGCTGGGCCGCACGCACCGTGGGTGCTCCAGGTTCCCTGCGCGCTCGGGCAGAGGCGCAACCTGCAAGTCCCCGTGGCCCTAGCTCCCAGCACACAGCCTTCCGCGCTTCTCCCCGAGGGGGACTCACACCCTGTCTCCTTTGGCGTTAGAGAGCCCGCGACACCATCCTGCCGAACTGCATTTGTTTTTCTTCTGCTGGGTCTGGGGTCTCGGTACTGTTTTTAAAAATAATTTTCGAGGTAGCCCAACTTGAGCTATGAGGAAGCATCCACTGTCTAACACCTCCCTGAGGAGGGATGCCAATGGTTACATTGTTTTCGTCTCCCCAAACGCTGCTTCCCGCTGGGGCCACTGTTCCTCGGTGTCGGGCTTGGACGCATTTCCCTTCCTGTAGTGGCAACTTCCAGGGTCACTGGGCCCTTTTCTCAAGAGGCCAAATGAGTTCCCTAAAAGCGGACCAAAGGCTCCTGGAGCCACCGCCAAATGCTAAACATCTTCGGGGATACAGGGATGGAGCAAGATAGTGCGGCAAGGACAAAAGTGGGCTCTGACAGGGGTAAAGAGCCCAGGTAATCTGCCCCTTGGAAAAGTCCAGGGCACTGTTCAGAAGCTCGGGTCGTTTGCTTAAAACCCAAAGCCCTGAGAAAGGCTGTGAAGTGTCGCGACCTCCGCGGAATCTTCGGGAAGGAGGCCAAGTCCGAGGAAAGCAAAGTTATGGTTGAGGCAACAGGCGCACCAAGTTTAGTTTTCAAGGGCGGCACCACGGGCGCTACTTAGCTGAGTTTCAAATGATGAATTCCGAGCGCGAAGCCCGACGACTACGACGATAATAGCAAATAAAACATCTAGATCGGCCGGTCGGTTGCACTTCCCTGGACCTTCGCGGGATGGGACGGTGCGGCACGGTGCGCACTTGAAAAGCAGAAAGAAATCAAACCATTGCCGCCTTACAGAGGAACTAAAATGAGTGGATAGCGGGCAGTGTGGGGTTCTACTGAGGGGTACCAGGAACCCTTGAGTCAGACGGGCTTTTGCCGAGTTTATGAAGTTCAGGCACACCGGCTAGGAAATGAGGAATTTCTTTCCATGCAGCGCGTTCATTTCAGCGGCAATATAGAATTTCCCTTCTTTGCCTGACGGAGAAAGGGAACATTTCCACCGCCACTTCCAGGGTCACCCAGAATCATGCTAATATTTACATTATACTAAATTTTAAAAATGCGACAGAGCTAGTTTGAGAGGATGCTTTTTGACAGGTTTCTCCAAATTTGTTCCAAGAGGGAAATTTGGAAACACACATAACTGAAATGTAAGTTTCCTCAGGGAGTTTATTTAACAGGTAGTAGTTGGTTAGCTGTAAGACAACGGTTTGACTGTAGAACAATTAACAATTCGTTTATCTTTTCTCCCTACAATTTAAGGTAATTTCCTATAGGTGATCCCAGCAAATATCTAAAGGGCTTGCATTTTCCTCTCTTAAAATTTGCTCCAAGATAGAATACTCTTAAAGATGGGATTAGAATCTCAACAATTCTCTTAAATCAAAATTACCCTTCTCTTGTGGGCAATGTGATATTTCCAAATAAGATATCCAAAAATGGATTTGTGAAAGAATTGTTTCTAAGTTTTTTTTAAAAAATAATGTATCTTATTATTGGCTCTGGACACATTCAGTAGTTGGTACTGTTATAGGGATGGAGAAAAATTCTGATGAATAGTGTTTCCTACACTGTCCATTTT